GGCGCTGCGCGGGGCGGAGGCGGCGTGGATGATGGACAAGGTGCGCACGACGCTCGGCGCGGTCCTCAAGGCGCTGGCCGAGGACCCCACCTGGAGCACGGAAGCCGCCGAGGAGGAAAAACACAGGCTCCTAAAGCTGCTTTCACGACTTCTCTGTGAAGTCTCTCGTTGGGCAAGGCTGGAGTGTGCGCTTCCTTCCGATCTCGTAAGTCCCCTAAGCTCAGCTATAATTTCTTCCCTAGCTGTGTTTTTAAAGTTGTTTAACGAACGCTCTTTAAGTTTTCCAGAACTGCGGGAGTCTGTCTTTGCCGCATTTCAGCTCTCCGCCGAGGCTTTCACGCGTGAGTTCGTGTCTCACGCAGATTCGCAGGTGTTTTTATCGACCATTTTGTTTGCGCTGAATGGAGACTCGGTTGAGTTTCAACGCGTTGGAATAAGTGTCGCCGACACCGTGGTGACGTACCTGCGAGACTCGGGTTTGCAGGACCACGAGTTATTTGCCCGGCTGCTCTCGACCGTTTTGCGGGGTTTTGCGTTGGGTAAGCTTTCGCTCTCCCTCTCCTCCCAATTGGCACGGAGCCTCACGACGCTCTGCGGCTGTCTCCCTGCTGAAACCGTGGAGGTGGTATTCATGGATACCGTGAGTCTGAACACCGACCCTAGCGTGAGTGCCATTATACGAGACATGATGCACGTCGTTCAGGCGTGCGTTGCGAGTGAGGGGCCTCGTCGGAAGGCAGCTCTGCGTTCTTTGGACGAGGCTGTTGCAGACAGTCTGGGTAATATAAGGAGTGTTCTTCTTGAATAAATTGGCACCGCCTACATGTGGGTGTAGGTGGGTGGGTGTGCATGTTACTTTTGTGCCTCGTACTTGGGTGCGAGTGCGGTGAATCTCCGTGGCAATTTCCAACTCCTTCTTCATTCACAGTTTCCATTCATATACGCATCCATCTTTCTCTCCTTTCTTTCCCTGTTGCAATGTGTGTGTGTGTGTGTCGTTTTTTTTTTGCCTTTAAACCATCCACACTTATGTGTGGCTTCCGCGGTGGCCACATATACGTTTCCTGGATGATGAGAGGCCTTCTCGTCTCTCTCTCACTCTCTTCCTTCGCCGGGATTCGTAAGTGGGAGACTTGTAGAGGAGCGCGACGTCGGCAACAACAACAATTTGGACCCCCGCCCAAATGTCGCTTCAGCAGACGGCGTACAGCGCATGCTCACGCAAGGTGCACTGCGTGAGTAAACACTACCTGGACGATCCATTTGTCCACTTCTTCGCCAAGGACACAACGCTGGTCAACAGTCCCTTGATGAACCGTGGAACATGGCTCCGGACCGTTGCAATAGAACGTGCACTGTTGTCGTTTGCCAAGAACCGGTCGATGGATGGTCCACTACAGGTGATCAGCTTTGGCGCAGGCATCGACACACTGTACTTTCGCTTGAAGAAAGAACACACGGAGGTTAATATCGGGCGTTACATCGAACTTGACCTCCCGGACTTGGTGGCCGAAAAGAGAGGCGTCATAGAGCGAGTCGGAGAAATGAAACAACTTATTGGCCCTGAGTATGAGCTAGTTGCATGTGACCTCCGGAAAACCGATGAGTTGCGTGAAATACTGAAAAAGGTAGTGTGCAGTGATATGCCCACTATATTATTGGCGGAAATGGTATTTGTCTACCTAGAAGAAAGCACCACCACTGCCATTCTTGAGCTGACACTTAACGAGCTGCTTAACAAAGATGTGTGTGTGTTGTTTATCTCCTATGACGCTATTCGCCCCAATGATCGTTTTGGGGAAGTGATGGTGAATTCCCTCGCGTCCATGGGCGTTCCGCTGCTTGGCATCAAAGCATTACCTACGCCTGAGGCCCACGCGGAAAGATGCAAGAAGGTAGGGCTAACAAGTGTTATGGCAAAATCTATGAAGCAACTGTATCTTTGCGTCCCACAGGAGACACAGCGGTGGCTTCAAAAACTTGAAATGGTGGATGACTGGGATGAGTGGTGTATTATGCATGACCACTACAGCTTTGTCCTGGCAACAAACAAGGCAGAGAGTTTGCCAGCGGTTTTCTAACCCCAGTTTTTTTTATTTGCCTGCCTTCTCTCCTGTTTCTCCCATTTCGTTTCTTGGGCACATTCCCAGTGCCGTGTCTCGCCTCTCACCCTTCCAGACTTCCATATTCTCCAGCCACGCCACTGTGCAAAGAGGTAGAAATGCATACATATATATAATAGTCCCCCTGTGAGTCTCGCGATGTCCGGTTCCACGCATTGTGTTTTGTTTTGTTGTTTTCTTTCTGTGTCTGAGTGTATGTGGGCGTGTGTGTGGTTTTCTTCTTGGTTGCCGCATCATCTTTTCCTTCAGCTTTCATTGTCTCTTCAGGCTGCTATAAAGTGCCTTTTCAAGTGGTTTCAAGAACAAACAAAAAAAATTAATAATAATAAAATGGCTTTGGACGAGCTGAGGTCGAAGGGAAATGAAGCCTTCAAGGCGAAGAAGTATGCAGACGCCATACACTTTTACACGAAGGCCATCGAGCTGAGCCCTCAAGCAGAAGCCGCCGCTGCTTTGTATTCAAATCGGGCGGCTTGCTGGCAAAATACGGGGAAGGCGGCGAATGCGCTGAAGGATGCAGAGAGCTGCATCACTCTAAGGCCATCTTGGATAAAAGGCCACTACCGAAAAGGGGCGGCACTTGAAAGTATGCAGAGGTATGACGAGGCGTTGAAGGCGTTTCAACAGGCTGCAAAGATGGAGCCTGAAAATGAAGAAATTGCGGACAAGTTGCAGCAGCTGGTCCTCATTCTGAGGGAGCGCAACGAGAAGTCGACTCCAGAGTCTTGTAGAACGGCTGAGGAGGCTAAAAACATAGGGAATTCCTTGTTTTCCGCCGGAAATTTTGAAAGGGCCATGTTGTTTTATTCTCGTGCTATCGCGCTTTCCCAGGAGGGAAATGTGGAACAGGCCAACTATTATGCAAACCGTGCGGCATGCCATCAGCAAACGCGCAATTATCATCTTGTGATCAATGATTGCGACAAGGCCCTTGAAATTGATCCCACCCACGTCAAGGCGTTGCTTCGCCGTGCCATTGCCTATGAGGGTCTCGAGAGCTGGAGTAAAGCTTTGAATGATTACAATCAGGTTAACCGTGCGTTTCCTGGGATGGCGGCTGTGTCACAAGGTGTGCTTCGATGTCAACGTGCTCTGCGGGGCTAACGAGTGTGTCTAAAGGCAATGATCTATGTTGGTGTTGTTGCCGTTTGTTTTCATTTATGTCTTGTTCGTATTCTGTTTTTTTTTTCAGCGTATATTTATATATATATATTTATTTATGCATCTGCATATGGCAAAGTTTTGTCGCTGCGCACGCAAATTGCCTCCAATGTCCTGATTGATTTGGCTTTGCCGTTTGATGGATGGGGTAACTCCGTCGTTAATCGTGTTATTATTAAAATTATTCCTATATTCTTGTTACTCTTTGCGTTGGTGAGAAACTGTCTCTTATATAGAAGAAGAGGAAAAAGAATCTGTGCAGTTTGGAGCGGGAGGGCGGATAGTGACGATGCGCACCAAACGCAGGCTCCTTTACCTCCCAGATGAAGAGGCTGCACTTCTGGGCGAGCTCACGGACTCACCGCGCCCGCGTCCCTCCCGTCTTTCTCGACTGGCAATCCTTTCGTCGGACGATGAGAAGAGGGCTGCCTTTGCGAACGGCGTCACGGAAACCCCGGGAGCGGAGCTGGTGGACGCTGCCTTGCTCGTTTCCTACAACAGCTTCGCGTTGGCGGATGGGTCTGGCACTCTTCGCCCGCCCCTGGCCGCGGGCGAGACCATGGCGCTTTATAGGTCGCTGCGAAAGTGTTGTCGTTATTTGCGCAAGTTTTTGAAACGCCAATCGGCGTCGCAGGCAACAACGGACTCACTTTCATCCTCGACCCTGGAGTATAGCGAGTCGTCTGACTCCGTGAGTGAGTCTGAACCCCGGCAAAGGCGGCAGAAGAGGTGTCCGAAGGAAGCGGAGGCTGTGCGGCAAACCGAGGGAAACTATGCTGCAATGACGGTTATGGAGCTTAGAGAACTTTTGCGAAGGAGAAAGTTGCCCATATCTGGGCCCAAAGCCCTGCTTATTTCTCGTCTCCAGGGCAGTGATGAAAGGCCACTTGCACCCGAGGAAAACGGCCAGTCTGCCCACACGGTGCCTGCGTGCCCCGATGATGAATGTTCCGAGGCCACTACTTCTTCTTCGGAATCTCAAGACGGAAGTCCCCCTCAGAGCATGTGGAGCGCTATCCTTGATATGGGAACGAGACTGTTTCGTAAATCAACTGGATCTCTCCCCGAGGAGAATACGGCTTCATATCGCAAACGTCGACGGAGTGAATAGATTTATCTGCAACATCTTTAGTGGCGTGCCATTTTTTCTATTCTTGTATTTTCTTCTTTTCCGCTGCTGTTGTTGTACTTCTCGCTGTCTGGTTTGGGTACTTGAACGTGTTCTTCCTCGTGGTATTTTTTTTGTTTTTGTTTTTTTTGCTTTGTCTTTACCCTTGCCCTTGAGATGATCATCCGGATGTAAACTGGTTCATTGGATTGCTTTTCAACGATTCCCTTTTACGCTTTTGATGCCTTGTTGCAGTTTCGCGATCCATGTCAATGAATACTCAAGGGCTGTTTGTCATTGGCCTTGATTTTGGCTCCGACTCGGCGCGGGCCGTTCTGGTAAGCGCCGAGGACGGCAACGAGGTTGCAGTGGCTGTGGTGCCGTATCGCCGGTGGAGCCGTGGCAAGTACTGTGACCCGCCACGTAGCCAATATCGCCAGCATCCTTTGGATTACATTGAGGCCCTTGAAATTGCTGTTCGTAATGTGCTGGACCAAGGGCCTGCCGGTGTGAGAGATCATGTTGTGGGAATGGCATTTACCACCACAGGCAGTACACCATGCTTTGTGGATGAAAAAGGTGTTCCTCTGGCTCTGCAAGAGGCTTTTTCAGAGAATCCCAACGCCATGTTTATTCTTTGGAAGGATCATACTTCGGTGAATGAGGCAACGGCTATAAATGAGCTGAGTAAAAAATGTACAGTGGACTACACAATGTATTCTGGGGGTATTTACTCCTCGGAGTGGTTCTGGTCCAAGGCTCTGCATGTGCTTCGCCACGACAGCCTTGTTCGCGAAAAGGGCTACGCCTTGCTGGAGTTGTGTGAATGGCTTCCCGCGCTCGTCACAGGTGTTTCGTCTTATGCGCAAGTGGCACGAAGTCGGTGTGCGTGTGGCCATAAAGCAATGTGGAATGAAGAATGGGGCGGATTTCCCCCCTGTGAGTTCTTTGCACAACTCCACCCGGCCTTGGCCGCCATCCGTTCTAGAATGGCGTTCGAAACTTTTACGGCGGAAAAAGCTGTTGGCCGTCTTTCTCCGGAGTGGGCTCAACGTTTGGGGCTCAAGGAGACCGTCTCTGTCGCTGGAGGCGCGATTGATTGCCACATGGGTGCCGTCGGTGCTGGAATTGGCGAGTACACGTTTGTTCGCGTTATGGGCACCTCCACGTGTGATGTGATGGTGTCGTCTCGCGAGGACATCAATCACCGGCGGATCAATGGTATCTGCGGCCAGGTTGATGGCTCTGTGCTTCCCGGCATGATCGGTCTGGAGGCGGGACAGGCGGCTTACGGAGATGTGTTTGCCTGGTTTGTCTCACTGCTCGCCTTTCCGCTAAGAACGGTGGTTCAAGACTCTACCTTGATCTCTGAAGAGGCGAAGATGCAAATCTGGAAGGAATACAAGAAGGGCATTTTTCGCGTACTAAATGCAAAGGCGGGGGAAATACAACCGGGAGCGGGAAATGCAATTGCTGTGGACTGGTTCAACGGCAGAAGAACCCCAGACGCCAATCTTTTTCTCAAGGGAACCATCAGTGGTCTTACGCTTGGGACGGACGCGCCCGGCATTTTTCGTGCCCTTGTGGAGGCCACCGCGTACGGATCAAGGGCTATAGTTGAGCGGTTTAAAGAGGAGGGTGTACGCATCGATCGTGTGATTGCAGTTGGGGGCATCGCCAAAAAATCGGCCCTGGTGATGCAAGTTTTAAGTGATGTTCTTAACGTTCCCATACGTGTTTGTCGCACCAAGCAGGTATGTGCTTTGGGTGCAGCAATCTTTGCTGCAACCGCTGCAGGGCTGTACGACTCCATTGAGGCGGCTCAGAAAAAGATGAGTAGCGGATTCTCTACCGAATATCAACCGTGCCCAACTAGGGCGGCGATGTACAACAGGCTATATGAATCCTACAACCGGCTTGGCTGTGCCACCCAAAAAGAATTTTCTTCCAATTTGTGATTGCCATTAGGACGACATGAAAACGTTTTTTTTTTCTTGAGTGTGTGTGGAGTGGGAGGGGAGGAAAGACTTGACTGTAGGCGTCTGCTTCGTTGTTCGTTTTTTTTTTTTTTTGGGGGGGGGG